ACGCCGTCTCCGGGCCAAAACACCTTTTTCCTTGGCAACTCCAGAACAACTTGACATGAACATTATATTGAGGCAATTTAAGACATAAACATGCAGACGAACATGGTCATTACTGAAGGCAATAAGATAAGAACCGCGGCTGCCCGTGGCCACGCGCGATAGGCGCTAGCGACGGCTTGGGCCATTTCATCGACAAAACCTCACTTTGTCTCGACTAATCTGAACTTACTGAACATGAAATAAGCTAAGCTGAACAATTAGACATTAATAGTTCGAGAGTTGCCGGGAAAATCGAAAGTTATTTGATCATGATCTTACGTTAAGCATCATCGGACTTAAGCACGGCTTTACTAGAAATTCTCGAATATAATTCGAACACTTAACCTTAACATGACTTTACCAACCAGATTATAAGTTGAGGAGGACGTTATCTCGTCAATCGTCCGACCGAAATGGAAAAATAGGGCGTGATTCCTTGTCCTTGCGTGTGTCGTGCAATGCTGCTACCTTGCCGTGCGGTTTAATGGAAAATTTAGGGAACATTGCTTCACTTTATTGCTACTGAATGTGGGAGTATATAGAAGGGAATATGTTCACTATGCCTTATAGGATAATTGAGGGAAAATTTCGTACAATCACCTCCATATATATCCGGCCAAGAGGGATGGTGATGATGTAGTGAAGGCGTGGCCTTCTATTAGGCTCACATTTGTTCTCTTAATAGCTATACTTAGCATGACTCATCCTCCCCCTTTTAATCTCCTAACAACACGTGTGATACTTAAATGGATGGAGGGAAAATGACTTCTTAAGGCTTAAGGAAAGTTGGAAATTATTGGAACCATTTACTGATTTATGCTCACGGCTTTTATGCAATTGATTGGAAAATAATTCCAATTTGAGCACGGCTCAAAGCCCTAGTACTGTGATTAACATTAATTAATCACCTTTTATGTTTAATCATTTAATTAAACATAATACTTAATTACCAAAATTATTTCGAACGTCAACGGTACGTCGAAAATAAATTTCGGTAATCTCGACTGAACATAATTAATTCCAAAAATAATAATCGATAACGTTATTATATCGGAACTAAAACATAATTTATACCGATAAAATATCGGGATATTACAATCCTCCCTCCTTACAAAATTTCCGTCCTCGGAAATTCAAAACATAACTGAAATACATGATATATGTACATAAGATAAAGAAATATGTACATCAAAACTGAAAATCTGGGAAGCGAGCGCGAATATCGGACTCCTCCTCCTAAGTAGCTCCGTGGCGATCCCACTGAATACGCACGAGGGAAATATCTCGCTTCCGGAGCCGACGAACCTGACGGTCTAGTACAGCTACCGGTCGCTCCTTGTACGATAGATCTGACTGAACCTGAATATCCGTAAGAGGAGTGTCATGATCTGGGTCGCACACGTACTTACGCAACATAGATGCGTGGAAAACATTATGAATTCCTGATAACTCGGGAGGTAGGGCTAGACGATATGCGACCTTGCCTACTCGTTCGAGAACCTCGAACGGACCGATGAATCGAGTGTGCAGCTTCCCTCTCTTTCCGAATCGCACGACTCCGCGAATCGGACGAACTCTTAGAAAGGTTGGCTCGCCAACCTCGAACTGAATGTCTCGTCGATGATGATCGGCGGAA